TCAGCACACGTGGCTGAGCACTCCTAAGGTTTTAATCAGGATCATCTGAATGTGAACCTCTGTGGGAGGCATGGACTTTGCCTCCCATCGGCCAGCCTGATTTCATACTGAGAAGACATGAAGGACTCGGGAAATACTTGCCAATGCACGAGGCCAGTCTTAAGGACTGCCAGGTGGGGTATGTTTCTGCCCACGGAGGCTTATAAAATGGTTTGTTTTGTGCATTCAGGCCTGTTTTTGAGCCTCAGCTCCTGCCATGCAAACAGCATGGCAGCATTCAGTTGCTGTCATGCTGGGAAGACACCCACATTGTTGCCATGGATGAGACGATGAGGTCATTGTGCACAGAGAGTGTGAAATTAAGTTCAGAGAATTGACAGCAGCTGGTCTGACACTAAGTGCGGTGCTTGGTTGTTTACAGTCAGCGGGGGATAGGGCAGACGCTGTCCCGTCCTGGCTGCCTTTTTGACCTGGACTCTAAAGGAACCACTTGCTTGGGATTTTGGTCTCCTGTGTTCTAAACACTAATTGTGACTCCTGTCCCTCCCCCCGAGTATCAGAAATGCCCTCAGGGTTGGCACACCTCAAGGTCAGCCTTCAGATTTGGGAACAAACTGCAGAGAAGGCCTGGCTTTTGGCTGCCCCCTCCCTCTTGGTGTGAGAAGTCTCTCGGGGGGGCATTGGTCATTAACACCACTTCTTGAGCTGTGTCTATGTATGTGTGTGTTCATGCATATGTGGTAGGATCCTGCTGTCCACTCCTGTCACCAGGCTCTTGCTTCCTTACTTGGAGCTACCATTCACCCTGAAAGTTGGGAGAGCAGCACAATTTTATCAGGGTTCTTGTTTTTGTGTTTCACCAAAGCTCGTAAGGGCTATGACCCACCTTTACAGCCACAGTTTTTTCTTTCTTTTCTCCTCCAAAGCCAAACTCTTATTGCAGTGACTCCTGTGCTACCTAACTTAGGAAGATGAGATCAGTGGTGTCTTGGTCTCCCTTAGGGTAATGACACTTTTCATCCACTGTTCCTGCTCTTTGGTGATCACTAACAGGTGCTCGTGACCAAGATTCTAACTGGAGGTGGCAGCGGCCCTGCCCTCTGAAGCTTCAAGCTTAGAGGTTATCAAAGTGGGTTCAAGAATCGCCATATCCTGTTTGCAAGCCTGGGCTCCAGCAGTCTCCCCACCGTGGGCCTGAGAGCTGTTTTCAGTGAGAAGGTGCGTACCAGGAGAGTGTCCTGCCCACAGCTGCTATAGAGGCTTCTGTGCATGCAGGGAGCTGCAGGAAGCAGCCCTGTCCAGGTGGGCAGTGACACTGGGACTGTGATGCTGGGACACGAGGACTGGATAGCACAATACTGAGGTCCCCTGGCCCCTGGTCTTAGCACAATGCAGGCTATTGCCTCAGGGTCCCTGACCTAGAGAAGGTGGTGTATAGGAGAGGTGGCTCCAGCTTTGGGGCTTCTGTAAGCTTTGTGGCATGGCCTTCACCCTGTTTGATCTCTTTCCTGGGATCTCTTTCCTGGCTCCTGCTTTGACAGCCTGGTTGAATGGCTGCTTCAGAAGACCAGGCAAGGCGAACCCGTCAGTGGGCCTTTCCGGTTGTGTACTTGCACTGCAATTAGGTGTTGAGTAAAAGGGTCAGCCAGAGGATGGCAGGGGGAGGGACCCCTCCTCGTCTTCTGGAACCAACCCTCTGGGCCAGCTGAGGGAAGCTTCCTCTTCTGCTGCCTGTGGGCCTCCTGCAGGCAGGAGCCCTTGGCTTCCTCTCCGCTCCTTAGGAACAGCTGCCCAGCCTCTTCCCGTGCCTTGCTGGTAAAAAGCTCCAGCATAAGTAGCAGTCTGATCAGGAGCAGCAGAGCTAAGGCTTCTGGAGTGTGAGGCCGCATCTGCCAAACCAAAGGCGAATCCTGGATTTTCTGGCCCAATACTGTTAGGCTCTGTGCCCCTCCCCCAATGCAGTCCCAGATTTTTATTAGCTCAGAGGTAGCTGCTCAGAGCCCCTTGTTCTGTCCTGCAAACGCCACTATTGGGAGCACGTTTCCAGCTCCCTGTCGGCAGTGTACCTCCCCTTAAATGTAGGTGCTTGCTGGGAAACGCATGACCTGGCATCTTCTATTCAATTTGCCTAGAGTTGTCATTATTTACAAGTGGCATTACTTATAGTGTGCTGCTGTCCGGCTACTAGGAGCCCTTCCTTCATCTGCACAAACCCTGGCCAGATATCTGCGAATGTATGGCAGGTCATAGCTGAGAATCTGCAGCTTATGCCCGCCCTCCTTCTCTGTCACTCACCTCCCCAGCCACCTTCACTGGCTGATGCTCACTATTCACTCTCTACCTTCACAAAAGGTAAAATTTGTAATATTAGCAGTTGTCTTAAAGTGATGATCCCACCAAACAGAACTGTTAGGAAAATCTTCCCCCTATTCCCATATTCCAGTCTTGCCATTTTCTCCCAAAATTGTAGAATATCACTTCTGTCTAACACTACATGTTCGCCTCATGTTTTTTTGAAGTGCAAAATCTCAATGTCTGTTTACAGCTCTCTCAGTTCACCATCCACAGCAAGGGGGTTTGTATCGGTGGGTTTTATTTCATAGCTAATCAGCGGGCCCCAGCACTGGCCCTGGTCAGAACGTGAAGCTGGTTCCTCACAGTGGAGACACAAAGTACAAGAGGCGCGACCTGGTAATTAGGCAGCTCCAAGTCTGCCTTTGAATTAAAATTTCCAAAGTACATTACAAATCTCCAAGACTGTTAGGGGAAGAAGAGATGGTGTGGTTTGTCTTTGAAATCATGGTTGATACTTTGAGGCAATTGGCCTTGCTGGCTGCAAGGTTGTTTGCTCTGACAGCATGTTTGTTGCATTTCTTCCCTGTTCTTTGTACCACTGGGTCATTCCCTGGCCAGGGGACATAAATGGTGCTGATACAATGTTATCAGAGTGTGTGTGTAGGGTGGGGGGTAGGAGGGCGGGGGGAATAAGGTGGAGGGTGTCTGTGTTCTTTTATTTAAATCAAGGTGATACTGGGGAAGCTATTTTATTTTAGTAAATGATAAAATTATGTGACTATTGTAAAACGTGTCAGTGGATGTGTGAATAGGAGGAGTATGAAAAACTACCGTCCAGCAGATCGTGATAACCACACAGTACTGTGTATGTTGTGTGTCTACATGAATGTGTGTTCCGACATGGTGTGTACAGAGATGAGGATCATGCAGGAGCTAATAGAAGATCTTGTTTGGGGTTCTGCATACGGATCATGTGTTAAACTTTTCCTGTTCAATAAATGAATTTTATTTTTTATTTTTGAAGGTTGAGTCTGTGTTTTTGTTTTCACTTAAAAAAAAGTCACTCAGATCCCCTTGATCCTAGGTCACAATGTTTCTGGTGTATTTCATGGAGCTCATCTGGGGAGTAGTGTGAACAATAGAACCATCTATGGAATTGAGAGTTCCCCAAAAAGGGGCCAGGTAGTGATTTTCCTGTTAGATAGTCCTGCCCTTCCTGTCTGCTTCTGCTTCTCCCAAAAACTTGAGTAGGAATTCTCAACCCCCCTCTGCATATCATAGGATCACACAAACCAGGGTGATGGTTAGTTGTATGCATCAGTGTGGCGAGGCTATAGCGTTCAATAATCCCAGTTATTCATTCAAACACTAACCTAGGTGTTTCTGTGAAGATATTTTGTAGATGTGGCTAAAATCTACAATCAGTCACCTTTAAATAAAGGTATTATCCTCAAAATGTGGGTGGGCCTCCTTTAATCAGTTGAAGGACCTTTACGGCAAAACATTTCACTAAGGTAGAAGAAATTTGCTTCAAGACTACAGCATCAGTTTTTGCTCAAGAGTTTTCAACTTGCTAACCTACCCTATGAACTTTTGACTTAGCAGCCTCAACAATCACATAAGTCAATTCCTTGAATCTCTCCCTCCCTCCCTCCCTCTCTCTCTCTCTCTCTCACCCTGACTGATATGAGAGGTAACACCCAATTTTCTAAAAATTGGGGGACTGGCCCTGGCTGGTTTGGCTCAGTGGATCGAGTGTTGGCCTACGGACTGGATGGTCCCAGGTTCAGTTCCAGTCAAGGGCATGTGCCTTGGTTGTGGGCACATTCCCAGTGGGGAGTGTGTGGGAGGCAGCTGATTGATGTTTCTCTCTCATCGATGTTTCTGACTCTCTGTCCCTCTCCCCTCCTCTCTGTAAAAAAATCAATAAAATATATTTTAAAAAATTGGGGGACTGATTTCAAGACAGTGGAAGAGATGACTTCCCTTCTCTTTTTGTCACATTTAAGAAGAAAAACAAGACCATCTCACTGACCTTTAGAGGATCTGAAAACTGATCTTTGTTGGCTACTGAGTTAGATTTGTTCAAAAGGCAGAGCCCTCAAGGGACACCGTTAAGTATAACACTTTCCCAAGAGAGGAAGGTAGAGCATGTGTTATGACCATTTTCACTTATCAGTATCATTACTGGAACTGGAGGGTCAAAGAGATTCAGTGACTGTTCGAGGTCACTGCCTAGTAAGTGGCAGAACTGGTACACATGCAAGCCCTGTGATTACAGAGCCCTAGCGCTTCCCAGGGTCCTGGCTGCCTCCCCCTCTTGCAGCCTTAGCAGGGAGGTCTCCTTAGGGATTGTTGTGAGGATTAGATGTTATAAAGTGCCTAGCTGAATTGAAGAAAACCAAGACTAGAGCAATTTTACTTAGGCGCGCGCGCACGCCCGTGTGTGTGTGTGTGTGTGTGTGTGTGTGTGTGTGTGTGTGTGTGTGTGTGTTTGTCATGTTTTGCTCACTTCCTTTGGATAGAGCATTCGACCTTAGATTGTTTACCTCTTTACATTTTTATTTCTGCTCACATTCTGGTTGTGATCCC